ATCTCTCCACATTTTTTCAAAAGTGGTGCATGTAGAACCACTTACAAATAAAATTAGTGTCTGACATTTGTCTATAATGGGGCAGAAATAATGAAAGACAAAAGACAAAACAGAATTAGCCAAGTTGATTGTTAGTGAAGTTGAGGTGATAGTTCGTGGAAATATTATATATTTTGTCTGCTTTACACATTTAAAGTTTTCCAGTTGAGAGTTTCTAGATGATCACAAGAATATCATGGGAAACTTTATTAATAGGTTGGTAAATAGTCTAAATTGTGATGTCTGGATTATAGAATCTCCCCGTTTCCTCTCTGTGCCTCTTTCTACCCTGTATCTTTCTCTTCACAATAGCTTAGGAGACTAAAACTGAGGACATTCTCTCATTCTTGCCAGTGAAGCTGGGGAAAGGAGGAACACTGTCAAGTCAGCTAGAGAAGACACTGGACAGAAGTAGAGGGGACAGCACTGACTGCTCCTCCACTGCATGTGCAGACAACAGAGCCACAACATGGCAAGTTACAGAAAAAGCCACGTTCTCAGTCTCTGAGAGAAGCATTACCTGGATAAGCTTACGGAGCACAGCAAAGGTCTAAATCCACCCAGCATTGAGACCACCACATAAAGTAAGGTTGAGCTTGTAGTGGGAAGCTAACAGCAGTGATTGCCCGCAAAGGCGTTAGGGAGAACAACAAAAATCAGTGATCTACTGGATATTTCAGTCTTACATCATAATATGCAAAGTGTCTAGGATTGACAAGTAAGTTAGCTCATGTTATAATCCCAACATTTGGGGTGCTGAGACAGAAGGATGACTGTAAGCTCCAGGCCACCCAGGGCCTCTTAGCAAGATTCTGTCTTAACACAAAAATGGTCTAGAATAAGTTTAATGCATACAAACAACCAAGAAAATATAATTAATTCTTAAATTAGATTCTAACGATTCCCCCACCTTAATGGGATCCAAATATCAAATTGTCAAAACTTAAGATCATCAGTGTAACCAAAACCAGGGAGGAGGTTGGGGGTGGTGGTGATAGGACTCAGCAGAGAAACTGGCATTTAAGAATCAGACCGAAACAATGTCTGAAGTTTTCAGAACTGCTGAAGATAATGTCTATCAGAATGGAGATAATGGAAGGTCAGCACAATCAAACTTGAATTGGTAGAAATTATCTAACCTAAATTACAGATAAATGAGTGAAAACAAATTGATAGAGCCTCTGGCAACTGTGGGACAATTTCAGAAGCTCTCGCAATTGTATCATCTAATCTATGAAGAGAAAGCTTAGTGCAGAATAAACATTAGAAGAAGTATTTGCTTTTACAATCTCAAGTTTGGTGAAAAATATAAAACTTACAGACTTAAATTCACTATGATTTGGGCATGGCAGTGCATACCTTTAATCCAGGCAGATCTCTGAATTTGAGGCCAGCCAGGTCTACAGAGAGTTCCAGGACAGCCAGGGCTATGCAGAGAAACCCTTTTTCAAGGAAAAAAATCCTTTATTTGCAAGGGGTTATTCAGTGGAAGTAACTTCTGAGTTCAGGCTGGGATCTTGTATCCACTTCTTTCAGCACTGGACCCTGATCTAGCACAGACCCATGCAGGCCCTGTATTTGCTGCCACAGTGTCCGTGAGTTTGTGTGTGTCAGTCCTGTTGTGTTTAAAAGGCTTCGTTTCCTTGGTTTCCTCCATTCCCCCTGGCTCTTAGAACCTTTCTGCCTTTTCTCTCACTTTTTTGAGCTCTGAGGAAAGGGTTTTAATGAAGGCATCCCATCTAGGGCTGAGTATTCAGGTTTCTCACTCTGCACTTTGTTCTGTTTTAGCACTCTGGTTTTGCAGTAGCTTCTCTGGGCAGCATCTCTGAGGAAGACTGAGGAAGACACTGTCTATGAGTGTATCTATGAGTGTATTATTTCATGCATTTAGCATAGCAGTAGTAGTTGGATTTCCCCCAGGGTCTCGGGCCTATCTAGTCTTAGGCTCTGAGCCACTCTATCAGTTTTAGGCATGGCTTCTATCTCAGAGAGTGGGCCCTGTGTGGCTGCGTTGATGTATCACTCCACAGGAAATGACCAGTTTAGGCTCCATATCCCCCTACTGCTAGAAGTCATAGCTAGAGTCACTCTCATAGATTCCTAGGTTTCTAGCTCATCCCAGAGATACCCCCGATTCCAGTTGTCTCTCCCAATATTCTCTCCTTCCATCTGCCTCACACCCTGATCTAATTTGTAGTTTTAAAAACCTAATTATTACCTTCTGTGAGAAAGAATATGCTAGCTTATGATTTAGCATATGATCCTTCTCTATGAAGACATTACAATCTATTGGAGGAGAACCATGAACAGAGTGTTTTTATTACATAAATAGTAAATTAATGAAAGCTGCTTATTCTGTATACTTAGAAATGGTTTATTTTATCTGAATACTTCCAGATAACAGTCCATCACTGAGGAAGTCAGGTCAGAAACTGAAGCAGAAGTCATAGCACCCGACTGCTTACAGGCTTGCTCAGTTTGCTTTCTTATGTACCAAGGGTAATCTGCCCAGATATGGCACCTCCTACAGTGGGCTGATGTATTACAAATTCTAATTGGTATTAATAATAAGAACCCAGAGTCAGATATAGGGTTAATACTGAAGATCAGAGAAGTATAGTAGCCAGCAACTAGAGAGTTATTTTACCTTTACCAATGCTCAGACTAAAGGGGTGAGTCTATCCTCAGACTGCATTTCCAGACTGCTGCTGTCTCCCACAAACCTCAAACTGCCATGTGCTCCTATCTCTCTCCACCCAGCCATATCACTCCTGTCTCTACCTCCCTAGTGCTGGAATTGAAGGCATGGAGTCGCAAGGATCACCTTTGTGTGAGCTGCTTCTCTTTTAGACAGATTCAATCTCATGTAGCCCAGGATAGCCTTGAACTAACAGAGATTCCTCTGCCCTGGTCTCTAGTGGCTTAGCTCTGCACTCTGATCTTCAGGCAAGTTTATTTGTTAAAACACAAACAAAATATCACTACAAGCTGAATCCTCCTACATTAATCATTAAATAAGAAAAACCTGTGCAGACTTTCCTACAGGCAATCTGATGGAAGAATTTACTCAATTGATGTTTCTGTTTCCTAGATGTCTAGGTTTGGGTCAGGTTGACAAAAGCCAACCAAGACACAGACAAATAGTAAACATAATTTTAAAATATATTTTATTTTAATATTAATGTTAATTATTTTTTAATATTTTTACTTTTGATTTCTCACTGGGCTATTATGTAGCCCAGGGTGACCCTTGAACTTGGCGTGTGAGGCAAGCCTGAATTCCTGGTACTTCTGCCTCCACTTCCCAAGTGCTAGGATTACAGGTAGACACCACTTTGCCAAGCTTATTTTGTATTTTTCGCTATAGGTAGTTTTGTTTGATTGGTTTGGGAGTTTTTTAGGGCAGTCTCATTGTAGTTCAGGCTAGTCAGGAATTTGCTATATAGGATGCTGTTTTGCCATGGTTTTGTTGGGTTAAGCCTTTTAAGGGTAGAAAGGCTACCACTGCCTCATGAGTGACATCTGGGAGGTTGAGTCCAGTGACAAGTCAGAGGAAATACTGCTTTTCACACAAGGAAGTTTTAATTATAGCACCATCAAGGCAAGTAGAGACAAAATGTGAGAATATATGTATGTGTGTGTAAATGTAAGGCTTCCCTTAAAGTTGAGAAACACACTTTAAACACGAATCAACCTGAGTTCAAATTCTTACTCTTGGGAGTTGGAGAGGTGGCTCAGTAGATAAGATCACTTGCTGCTCTCCCAGAGGAGCCGGCTCTGTTCCCAGCATTTGTATTAGAGGTTCACGGCCACTGTGAGTTCAGCGCCAGGGGTTATGGTAACCTTTTATGGCTTCTGTGGGTACCCACATACACATGACAGACACAAAAACCTACAAATACACATAAATCAAAATAAATCTATTTTTAAACTCTCTGCTCCATATGACCCTGAGCAGGTTGGATCTCTCTTGCTATAAATAACATTGCTTTATAAGGTTCTGTAAGAGTTTAATGCATAGTCTTTGTAGCACAGAATGTAAAAATTGACTTAGTATTTATTGCAAGTTGGTTTATTTTTGTCTGAAGATTTAAATTTTAACATTAAGAAATTTTATAAAATGAATAAAGCAAACACTAATAGTGGTTATAATATGGATCCTATGTTTTGTCTGAAAAAGTAGAAAGTGTTATTTACAGAGTAGAATTTTAAAAATGCGTAAGTGTGTAGCAGTGGAATTGTGAGTGAATGATAGGTGCTGTGTGGGTGAGGATTGGATAAAGACTGCATATGTGCCTTGTGATGTGCTGCTACAGAAGTGGGGTGTGTTTATCTTGTGCATCTTACAGTTAAACTCAGGTTCTGAGAGGCACAGAAAGGGCTGGGGATGCAGTTCAGCTGTCGAGGCACTTGTGTTCCATGGATGCAGCTCTGGGTTTTGACTCCCAGCAGTGCATAAGACCAAGTGGGGTGGTGTATGCCTGTAATCTCAGCACTGGGATGGAGGAAAGAGGAGGATTGGAAATCCAAGGTCACCTTTGGCTAGATATTGAGTTCAAGGTCATCCTAGACTATACGAGATATTGCCTTGAATATAGATAAGTAATAAAATGCACAGGAAAACTGAAAGTACCAACTAATAACTAACTGTTAGAATAATAAAACTTTGAACAATTCTTTTATTTCCTTTATATATTAATATCATGAAATTATCATTATAATGAGATTAGATTATGTAGGAATACTCTTCGTTTTAAAAAAAAAAGCATAAACTTTAGATTTCTTAATGTTTGGATCCATTAGTAAGACTGTTATTCATAGGCCTTTAACTACTGAGGTATCATCCTTCTGTCATTGTGTTTTTCAGTCAGTCATTACAATCCAGTCTACTATATTGACAGAATCGTAAAATAGAAAAATTTTAAGTATTTTTTAAAAACTCTTGTGTTTTGATATTACAGATTTATTTGAGGTTCTTAGATTACCAAATGGAACACTCAAATGAATGCAAGAGAAATTTTGTGGCGGTCTATGATGGAAGCAGTGCTATTGAAAATCTGAAGGCCAAGTTTTGTAGCACTGTGGCTAATGATGTAATGCTGAAAACAGGAGTGGGAGTGATACGGATGTGGGCAGATGAAGGGAGTCGGCTTAGCAGGTTTCGGATGCTCTTCACTTCCTTTGTGGAACGTAAGTAACTAATTCAAATCTATTGCATAATTTTCACTCATTCACGATATGCTTACTGAATACCTACTTTTTTGACAGAAAAGCACTTTTATAATATCATTTTGTAAATTGTCACACTGCACTTTTTAACTCAACAGGAACATTTTCCTCACTAACTTACAGCAAACCCTTTGCCAAGTCAGCGAGTTAATACAGAAATAAAGGTCATCAGGGCAGAATTTGGGAGTCAAATTATGGCACATGATGCAAAGACAAATGATTTTATACACCATTAAACACTAACTTTAAATACATAGTGAAACATGCTTGTTTTAAAACCATTAACATCAATTATATTACAAACCAATGAATTATCCAAAGGAATTGTTTTTTTTTCTTTTTTAGATATTTTGATTTTCTTTTAGATATTTTGATTTTACATGCATGGGGATAGATACAGATCTATTTGCATTCTTCTGCATGTTGACATCCAGTTATGCCAGCACCGTTTGTTGAAGATGCTTTCTTTTTTCCGTTGTATAACTTTAGGTTCTTTGTCAAAACTCAGGTGTTCGTAGGTGTATGATTAATATCAGAGTCTTCACTTCAATTCCATTGGTCCATCTGTCTGTTTTTGTGCCAGTACCAAACTGTTTTCATTATTATAACTCTATAGCAGAGCTTGAAGTCAGGGATGGTGATGCCTCTGGAAATTCCTTTATTGTACAAGAATTTTTGGCTATCCTGGCTTGGTTTTTGTTTTTCCATATGAAGTTGAGTATTGTTCTTTCGAGACCTGTGAAGAATTGTGTTGGGGTTTTGATGGGGATTACATTGAATCTGTATATTGCTTTTGGTAAGATTGCCATTTTTACTATGTTGATCCTACCTACCCAAGAGCATGGGAGATCTTTGCATTTTCTGGTATCTTCTTCGATTTCTTTCTTTAAAGACTTAAAGGTCTTGTCATGCAGGTCTTTCACTTGTTTGATTAGAGTTACCCCAAGATATTTTATATTGTAGCAATTGTGAAGGATGATGTTTTCTGATATCTCTCTCAGCCCTTTTATCATCTGTATATAGGAGAACTACTTGATTTTTTTTTTTTTAGTATCCTGCCATATTACTGAAGGTGTTTATCAGCTAAAGTTCCCTTGTAGAATTTTTTGGGTCAGTTACGTAAACTATCATATATCTGCTAATAGTGGGTTTGATTTCTTCTTTTCCAATTTGAATTCCCTTGATCTCTTTTTGTTGTCTTATTGCTCTAGCTGGAACTTTAAATACTATATTGACTAGATATGGAGAAAGTGGACAACCTTTTCTTGTTCCTGATTTTAATGTAATCTCTTTGAGTTTTTCTCCATTTAGTTTGGTGTTAGCTGTTGGCTTGCAGTATGTTGCCTTTATTATGTTTAGGTATGATTGGATTTTGTCAAAAGTTTTTTTCCACATTTAATGAGATGGTCATATTTTTTTTCTTTCAGTTTATTTATACGGTGGATTACTTTGACAGATTTTCATATGTTGAACCATTCCTGCATCTCTGAAATTAAGCCTCCTTGGTCATGGTGTATAATTTTTCTAATATGGTCTTGATTTCTATTTGCCAGTAATTTGAGTATTTTTACATCAATGTTCATGAGTGAGATTGGTCTGTAATTCTTTTTGTTGAGTCTTTCTGTGGTTTGGGCATCAGGGTAATTGTAGCCTCGTAAAAAGAGATTCCGAGGTTCTCTCTTCCATCTCTTGTATTCTGTAGTTCCTGATAAATTACCCAGATTTTCCATTTCCATAATTCTCTCAGTTTGTGTTTTCTTTATTGCCTCAATTTCCGTTTTCAAGTCTTGAACAGTTTCCTTTACTTGTTTGAATGTTGTTGTTTTTTTCTTGTCTTTCTTTGCTTTCTTTAAAGGATTTGTTGATTTCTTCCAATTTTTGTTTGTCTTTACTTCTTTAAGGGAATTTCTCATTTCTTCTTTAAGGGTCTCTAGCATGTTCTTAAAGTTATTTTTAAGGTCGTTTTCTTCTGCTTCATCTGTGTTGGGCTGTTGAGGTCTTGTGATGCAGGACCACCAGTTTCTGGTGTCGTATTGCTCCTCATGTTGTGTGTGTTCCTGCACTGCCGTCTGCCCATCTCTCCCTCCAGTGGGTACAAGTAGGGCCTGTGCTTCAGGGTCCCCTCTTCCTCCAATTGGTGCAATAGGACCTGTAGCTTAGGTGGTCGCTCTTCCTCCAGGAGCAGACTGGCCTTGCCTCTGGTGGTCACTGATGCTGACCTGGGGCTCCTGCAATTGTAGACAGGGCCAAGGCTCTGGTGGCTACAGAAGGTGGGGTTTGTAGAGGCTGCTCTCTGGTCTCTGGGGCTTGGCTAGGTGGGCACAGGATATGCCTCCAGGGGCTAGGGCCTAAAGAGTAGGGTCCTCCAGTGGGACCCAGATACTCACGTCTTCAGGTGGGGGCCATTTTCAGTTGTTTACTGTCTGAGCTTTAAGAGCTTCCCAACCAGGTAGGAGGTTTTTTTTTAACCCAGAAGAAATTGCTATTTAGTAATTTATATACATAAGTGAGTTTTCAGATAGGTATTCTATTATTATATGATTATATATTACTGCTGTTATTCTAAAATCCTGGGATTTTGATGTGTAGAATCCCAGCTTCAACCCAGGTGTCTCTAAGTTTGCCTCGTGTCTCTTTCAGTGTCCGGTCATTCCTTTTTTTTTATTTTTTTTTTCTCGTTCTCCTTTTTTATTGGACCAGGTTGCTACCAGAGAGTAAGGCAGAGCAAATCTCTCCTCCAGGGACAGGGGGATCTGTAAGCCACAAAGAAGCAAGCAGAGCATGAAAAAGACAGGAAACTGAATTTACAACCAAGCACTCAGGTTTAGATACAGCTGTGCAAGGCCTGGGAACAGCAGGTTCATCAAAAGTCAGTTGGGTCTTTTGACATGTACTAGTTCATTGCTCTTTTTTTTTTATTGATTTTTATTGAGCTCTACATTTTTCTCTGTTCCCCTCCCTACCTCTCCCTTCCCTTTCAACCCTCTCCCAAGGTCCCCATGCTCCCAATTTACTCAGGAGATCTTGTCTTTTTCTACTTTCTACTTCCCATGTAGATAAGATCTATATATGTCTCTCTTAGTGTCCTCATTGTTGTCTAAGTTCTCTGGGATTGGTTTGTAGGCTGGCTTTCTTCACTTTATGTTTACAAACCACCTATGAGTGAGTACATGTGATAATTGTCTTTCTGTGTCTGGGTTTCCTCACTCAAAATAATGTTTTCTAGCTCCATCCATTTTCTTGCAAAATTCAAGATGCCATTTTTTTTTTTCTGCTGTGTAATACTTCATTGTGTAAATGTGCCACATTTTCCTTATCCATTCTTTGGTCAAAGGGCATTTAGGTTGTTTCCAGGTTCTGGCTATGACACACAAAGCTGCTATGAACATAGTTGAACACATGTCCTTGTGGCACGATTGAGTATCCTTTGGATATATACCCAAAAGTGGTATTACTGGATCTTGAGGAAGGTTGTTCCTAATTTTCTGAGAAATTGCCACACTGATATCCAAAAGGGGCTGTACCAGCTTGCATTCCCACCAGCAATTCAGGAGTGTTCCCTTTACCCTTCATGACTAAGGAATAAAGAAAGCCTCTGAGGCCAAGTATGTGGTGGGGTGTCCCTGTGTGGAGGCCTAGAGAGGCCATTGTGTGAAGCTGTGAAGGTGAAGTCTGGATTGCCTTAGAAACCCTAAGATTTTAGAGATGCCAAGAGAAAGTTGCTAACAGGGAGTGGAGCCCAGGAGAAAGAAGTGTGTTGCAGTCGACAAAGATGAAAGGAGTTGGAGCTCTGAAGAGTGTTTTGACCTGAGACGTGGAGATGCAGAGTTTGGAGTTTGCCCAGCTGGCTTTCAGTCTTGCTTTGGTCCAGTGTTTCCTCACTGTGCTCCCTTTCCTCCATTTGGAATGGTAATGCATACCCTGTGCCATTATATGTTGGAAGTGTGTGGTCTGCTTTTTTATTTTGATCTTATAGGGGATTACAGTTAAGAGATTGCATGAATCTAAGAAAAAACTTTAAACTTTGGACTTTTAAAAAATTGTGAGTGACTCTAGGGGCTTTTGAAGTTGGACTAAATGTATTTTGTATTATGTTATGAATAAAAGCCCATGGGGGCCAGGGAGTGGAATATGGTGGTTTGAGTTGGATTGGCCCCCGTAGACTCAAGTGTTTGAATGCTTGACCCATAGTGGCACTATTAAGAGGTGTGGCTTTGCTGGCCTTTGGAGGAGGTGTGTCACTGTGAGGGCAGGCTTTGAGGTCTAAAAAATGCTTAAGCTACATCCAGTACACAGTCTCTCCTTCTGCTGCTTGCAGATCAAAATGTAAATAGTGTTTTTTTTTTCTTTTATTTTCTTTCTTTCTTTCTTTTTTTTTTTTTTTGTTTAAATTCCTGCCTGACCTGTAGCTGAAGATGACCTCCAACTCCTGATCCTACAAGCTTGAACCACACCCAGTTTATTCAGTGCTAAGGACTGAACCCAAGTCTTTTTTATTGCTTTTATTGAACTAAATATATTTTTCTCTGCTCCCCTTCCTCTCTCTCCCATGATCCCCACACTCCTAATTTACTCAGGAGATTTTGTCTTTTTCTACTTCCCATGTAGGATAAATCCATGTATGTCTCTCTTAGGGTCCTCTTTGTTGTCTATTGAACCCAAGTCTTAAACAGCTGTACTTATGAAGTGAAAGGCCATAAAGCTTAACAGATTTGCAATTATAAATAACTTGGTAAATATAATCAAAGTATACTATATGCACATATGAAAGTATCACATTGAAACATTGTAATTAGTATACACTAATTTAAAGATATGTAATACAATTTTATATAAAGTAGTCTGACTATATCAGTGCAGTCTTCTGGTTACTTTAAATAATATAGAGAACAATTGTAAAAGAAAAAATCCTCTATTAACGGGCTGGCAAGATGGCTTAGTAGGGACAGGTGCTTGCTATCAAGCCTGGCAACCTAAATTTGATCCCCAGGATCCACATAGTAGAAGCAGAGAACCAGCTCCTGCAAGTTGTTCTCTGACCTCACACCTGTGCTGTGACATGCACACCCACATATATGAATAAAAATGTAATTAAAAATTAAATAACCTGCCGGGCACACCTTTAATTCCAGCATTCAGGCACACCTGCAATACATAGACAGTTCCTAATGTTTCCATATCCTCTGAATTGGTTGCTTTTCTTGTTGCTCTGACAAAAGCAACTTAAGAAGGTATAGGTTTAGTTTAGCTCATGGTTTACGGAAGCAATCTATCATGGCAAGGAAGATATGACAGCAGGCGCAAGAGGTAGATGGCCACATGATGATTAAGGCCAGTAAGCCAAACAGCCGATGAACACTAGTGCTACACTTGCCCTCTCCTTCTCCTTCAGTGAGGGGCTCTAGCCAGTGATACCTCAGAAACCTTTCTAGCAGTATCCTCACAGACATGTCTGGAGGGCCGCCTCCTGGGCTGTTCTTACCTCATCGACTCGTAATTAACCATCACAATTGGTAGCGTGGTCTTTTAAAGTTTTGAAAAATTTTACTCACCTATGTAGAAATTCCTTGAGAAGTATGGGGCATATACTATACTCATATTGTCATTACACTGAAAATAACCTTTTGGTGCCCAGCATTCAAAAAGTTGTATGAACCAGCATTATAGAATATTGGCCCTGGTCTTACTGGTTGCATATTACAGTGTGTTCATGGAAAGGTCTCTAAGCTAAGAAATTACTCTTATAAAGTCAATTATTTATTTAGTTTGAGGCAGGGTCTCTATACATAATCCTGGCTGTCCAGAAACTCACTTTGTGGACCAGGCTGGTCTTGAACTCAGCGAGATCCAACTGCTTCTGCCTCCTAAGTGATGGAATTAAAGACATGTGACTTCACACCAGGCTAGAGTTAAATTCTTAAGTACAAAATAAATGAAGATGAGTTTTTAGTTTTTATGTCACTGTTCTTAGCAATATTAATTTTCTTTCTTCCTACAGCTCCCTGTACAAGCAGCACTTTCTTTTGCCATAGCAACATGTGCATCAACAATTCTTTGGTCTGTAATGGTGTTCAAAACTGTGCATACCCGTGGGATGAGAACCACTGTAAAGGTAAGTCTGATGCAAAGGCCAGCATTTCTGTGAGGATTAGGGGTTCCTTTCATAAGAAACAAACTAAAACATCTTTTTCTACTGGTATGCTTAGCATAGTTGCTTTAGCACATAATAACTTTTTTTTTTTTTTTTTTTTTTGCCGAAGACTAGGTTTCTCTTTGTAGCCCTGGCTGTCCTAGAACTCACTCCATAACCAAGCTGGCCTCAAACTCAAAGATCCACCTGCCTCTGCATTCCAAGTGCTGAGATTAAAGGTGTATGCCCACACAACCTGATATAATAACATTCTTGGAGAATAATTGGCTTCTAAAGCATTTCTTTGTAGAGTGTATTGTCAAGTTATTCAAAAGTGTATCTTTATATTTTTTGACCTGTATTATTGTTGAATGATGGAGTTAGCTAGTTTAGAGGACAACCTCAAGAATGGAAGAACTAATAAGACCAGCTAATAGATTATCACAGTGATGTAAAAGCAATGCATTATAGAATGCTTTTTCTTTCTTTGTTCTTTTCCCTTCATCAAGTTACTTGTGTTTCTAACATATACTCTGAAGTGCAAATATGATGAGAGGCCTTAGATACCTGTAACTTGGTTGTCACATCAGTTGGAGAAATAGAACATATCTGTCTTTCATCTTCCTGAGAGTTGGATGAATAAATATCTTATTGTGGGAAGGTGGTGTAATCTGAAGGCAACACTTACTACTTGGCATGCAAGTACTTATCATTCCAAAACAGTAGGCCATGGTGGTACACCTGGGTTGTTAGTCTGATCTCACAGATGTGAGTCAACACAGCATTTGTCAAATCTGCCTTCCAGCAGAAAACCAAACTTGATAGATCAAGAGTATTTGTTTTGACATTTTCTATATTAATGTAATTTGCAGATTGTAAGCACTTATGAACCTTTTGAGTAAGGGAGCTGAGTTTTTCTGTTCCTAGCTAGCTATATCATGATTTTTTACTTGACTCGAAATTCATGGTTAATAGTATTTTCTATTTGTTTAAAAAACAAAAACAATTCTTCAGTTGAATTTTCTCTGGTATGTTTGAATCACATATCCTGTTTTACATAAAAATGTCTAGTCAATATATGCTGGAATTCCTATTAATGAATTGTGAAAACCTCGACATTTCTTTCTTACAGAGAAGAAGAAAGCTGGACTATTTGAACAAATCACTAAAACTCATGGAACAATTATTGGCATTACATCAGGGATTGTCTTGGTTCTTCTCATTATTTCTATTTTAGTACAAGTGAAACAGCCCCGGAAAAAGGTAATGGCTTGCAAAACTGCATTCAATAAAACTGGGTTCCAGGAAGTATTTGATCCTCCTCATTATGAACTATTTTCACTGAGAGAGAAAGAGATTTCCACAGACCTGGCAGATTTGTCAGAAGAACTTGACAACTACCAAAAGATGCGGCGCTCCTCCACGGCCTCCCGGTGCATTCATGACCACCACTGTGGATCTCAAGCATCCAGTGTCAAACAAAGCAGGACCAACCTCAGTTCCATGGAACTTCCCTTCCGAAATGATTTTGCACAACCACAGCCAATGAAAACATTTAATAGCACCTTCAAAAAAAGCAGCTACACTTTCAAACAAGCACATGAGTGCCCTGAACAAGCTCTAGAGGACAGAGTAATGGAAGAGATCCCCTGTGAAATTTATGTCCGGGGGCGAGATGATTCTGCGCAAGCATCCATATCCATCGACTTCTAATTGTCAGCTTAAGGCGTTAGTTATTAAGTATGTGTATGCAGCCCACACCAACACCCATTCTGTCTCAGCAACCAATGTTGTTCCGTCAGACTTTAAAAGACCTTCATAATCTGTCATAATGCTGATGTTTTATTATCTCAGGCAATCTATATATGTGAAACCAACCAAGGAACTTAATGTATTCAGTGGAAAAAGTTATCATCCGTTGCTTGGTATCTTATCTGCGAAATACCACCAGTTCAATAGCAGTTGAGGAGCGAGTGGTCATGTTGAGCCAGGCTCAGCAGCCTGGAGGTGTTGACATCAGGATACTATTCTTGTTCGCACAGCCCCATCAATTTGATCCCACAGTAAATTTAAAAGTAAGATTTTTCTTTTTATTCCTTTTGTCTTTCTTTTCTCTGATGTGTTTGTTTGCCTGTGGTTTTACCATTTCAGTTTCCTGCATAAGGGGACAAAGCATCACTATATTCAGCATGGGCATGTATTTGCTCTTATGTGTAGAATATGGCTAGTCTTGTGATGAGTGGCAGTTTCAAACACAGTCATATTTCATCTCTCCCTGAATCATTCCTATACTGTTGTCTTTAATAACTGTAACTTTAGTTCTGTTTTATGTGAGAAGTAGTAGATGACATGATTTATCACCTTGAAATCATGTTTCATCTTAATTATGCTAGAAAAGTAATAATCCTGGGGTGTATTATTACCAGTTAATCCTGACTGGAAATTTGAGAAAGATTAAAAACATGTAGCAATCTCTGAAGTTGTTCCTGTTGGGTCTCATTCATTGATAGACATTCATCCCAGTAATCGGTCCCAGAATTCACTTGTGGGCAGGCCTTTAATATGGCTTCATGCAGAGCTTCATGTCAGATCTATGCTCCCTATCATCTTTCCAAAAGATTTATTTGTTCTCTTGGTATTGGTTTGTCTTTGGCACATAGCAACCATGGTTAGTGAAAGTTTAAAGAAATCCTCTGAAAAACTGTGTGAGCCTTTATATAGCTTCTGCTTGGAACAGTGCATTTTTCTAGCCATTATCATCAATAGAAACTTCAACTTTTTTTTAAAAGCACTTTTGACCTTATGTTTTATAAAGTATATAAGACAATAATTTATAAACATATTAAAACTCATTGGTTTTTTAGACTTTTGATATTATTTGATACTGTACAAACTTTATCAAACCAATATTTAAGACATACAAGACAGATTTCTTTGAATGTTCACATTAGAGACTTTGTGTAGAAATAGGCTGTGGTGGGACTGTACCATAAACTATTCTAAAGACCTTGGTCATGGTGATGTGTACATAAGCATTTTCTTTCTTTGCTGCTGTATTTAGTTGGTGATAAGTTTTTCACTGTGGTATTTATTGTTCCAAATCACAACAGAAATCTTATATTAAAGTATACATTGTTACATGACCCTTCAATTACATTATTTATAGCAGGAATACTTTGGATAAGATATGAATGGGGAATAATCCATATATTTAATGATAGCTAATATAAATAATTTTATTTAAAAGAGGTAAATTCTCACTTTCTGTATTGAACTAAATTTTCAAATGAAATGAACACTTCAGGTTTCACTAGATTTCACTAATTCTTTTAAGTACTACATAAATCTGATCTCTCAGATTGCTGAGAACTGTGACCTTCAATGTGATGTACTTTCTGCCCAAACTGTGTTCTCTGTATGGCATTTTTATTTTTAAAAAGGAAATTATATCAAGAAGATAGGAAAACCTACACGTAGCATAAGCATGATTTTATTTTTTTAAGCCAAGAAACATTCCTGCTTCTAAAAATAGAACTTGAAAAAGGAAAAGGAATTTCAAACATAGTAATCACTGAACTGTCCAGAGAAAGATTAGTAACTGTGTTCTTTCAGCAGCTATTAAGTAGGCATTTTATTAGATGAGACTGGTGAGCCAGTGTCCCGACAGCATAGTTAATACTTAAATTGACAGCTGTGACCTCAAGAAAGAAAAATTAACATTTCCTATATAAAATTATAGCCATCATAAAAATAGTTGCCATACTCATTCTTAATTTTTAAGTTATAGAGCTTATACCTTGATTTTGTTCATCATTATCACTTGTAGCTATATTTTTATTTTTAACACTGTATCCTATTTTAAAGGAATTTGGAGAGACTTAACAAAACACCGGTATTTGTAGAAAACACTGGACATAACAACAGTGTAGATTTGCATGATCTCATGCAACTCAGCTTGGGCAGTCATTTGATTCTAAATTCTCTGACAAAAAAAAACCTGAAAGTTGTTTCTTTGCACAGTAGAAAACTTTTATATTCAGAGGCTAAAGTGAAAGCCATAAATTTTGTAACAACTGCCATGAAATTTAGCCATCTTATGTGAATTATTACATCCTACAGATTACCCCAGTGTTAAACATGCCTTCTGACAAAAAATGTAAAGCAGAAGGGTGGTAAGAATCTCCAAGGCCGGAGAGTGCTAAGTACTGGCTATATGATATCACCATTGCCATCTTCCACTCAGCGCCCAGTGGCCACAGACCACAACCTACTCACCACTATCTCAAAGACATAGGAATAAACTGTGCTATTCCTTCTGCAGAGGACGGATATTCAATATAAATATTTAACCAAAGCCAAAGGATATTCACATTTCATATCACAGAGATCTAAGTGGCTCCTTTACTTTGATTTAATAGAACCTTTGTCACTATCCTAGTTGTGCTTTGTATAATTGCTAATCATTAAGGAACCACAGCATTCCCTGAATGCTTCTACAGTTCTGTTACTACCTAATGAGGGTGCTTGCTCATTTCTGGGGCATGTCAGCTGCTGAGAGAAGATGAGAAAAGCCTGGTTGTTGTTCCAGGAATAATTAGCAGTCAGAGATTACACTTTGTGGCAAAATGGTGTCTGCTGTATGTCCATGTTTCTTTATTGAAAATACTAAAAGAAATATGCCTGATTTGGCACATTGATTATGGACGGAAAGAACTTTAGGTTTTATTCTTTTTAAAGATTCAAAAGAGATGATGTCTCGTTTTGTTACTGAGAAGACTAAACCCTAAAGACAGACTTCCCACATGTTTAGACTCCTAGCCCAGTGTTCATCCTTGGCTTCTCGTTCCCTCCCTGCTTAGCGTTTGAAGTCACACAGTCCTAAACGTCAGCCTAGATGTTCTATGCAAAGCTTGTAAGTTGTTCTTACCTAAAATGTAATGCTGTGGTCTTATTTACATTGTGCTTCCCACCCCTCCCTATTTAATTTCTATAACACTGATAGCCTATCCTTTTTGTTATCAGGCTTTCTTGGTACCTGAAAAATATGTAATTACTGTGAATTCTTAGTAAACAGTGCTGCTTAGCAGCACACAGGGTGATGCCAGAGAGGAAGCGCCTGTGCTTTCGCTTTTGTAATGTTTTTTTAAGTTAAAAGAACAAACAATGTACATTATAGAAATTATAAATATTGGGGTACTGTATCTTGAGTTTTGAGAATTATTTGAGTCTGAGCCACAATAAGAAAACAAGCTGACCTGGAATATCTTTTTAGCTTCCTGCACCATCGATTACCTGTTTTATATACCTCTACTAGTAATATGCTCTTCTTTACTAAGCTTTTTAATATACCTGTGACTATATTTCTGAGATTGGTTTACTGGCTCAAAAAGCCCACCAACCTAAGGATGAGGGTGCACGTATAGTGAGTACTACCTAAACTTGTTTTATAAAGCAGTAGATTTTTATTAGAGATGAACTTCCAGATCATGTAAGAATTCCCATGTGCTTAATCCACATTTGGCACTTTAAAGTATTTAACCCTTGAACTGCAAATAAAAACTCCTGTTTTGATTTTCTTGCTTGCCTCAATTTCTAAGGTGTATAAAAGTAGACCATTTAGGTCACTTTGGACATCAGAATTTACATGCCCTTCCTAGGACAGAGTAGGCATTTCCTATGTGTTATTATTTCCCAGACAGAATAGTCATAGTGGAGATTTATTTGTTAAAGTAACTTTGGGTGATTATTAAAATTAAGAACCACTTTTTACTTTCAAGTAAAGAGAAGATGAGCTTTAAAAAAATAAGTTATAGGATGGGGAGCTAAAGAGATGGCTTAGCAGTGAAGAACACTTGCTGCTCTTCCAGAAGACCAGGGTTCAATTCCCAGCACCCACATACATGGCAGCTCACAGCCACTGCAACTCCAGTTATAGGGAATCTAGCTCCTCTTCTGGCTCTGTGGGTTCCAGGCATGCATGCCGTACACAGACGGACATGCAGGCAAAACACTCATCTACATAAAATAAAATTTGTAACTAATAACTTTCTAATTAGATTTATGGCCCATTCAGCAAGAGGGAGATCATGCCTGGTTCTGGAAACCTAGCCAACTACCCAGGGCTAGTAGAATCATGGATCTTGGAGGAGAACCTATAACTGCCATTTTACTAAAGCAATACAAAGCCTAATTACACTCTAAATATTTACTTTTTTCTTTTTTGAGACAAGGTTTCTCTGTGGCTTTGGTACCTGTCCCGGAACTAGCTCTTGTAGACCAGGCTGGCCTCGAACTCACAGAGGTCCACCTGCCTCTGCCTCCCGAGTGCTGGAATTAAACGTGTGCACCATCACCCCCCAGCATAAATATTTATTCTTATACCCATAGACCCACAGATTAGCGTAGTTCTCACCCCTCATCAAGAAAAGTTCTCTTTGCAATGGAAGGAGACGATTACAGAAACCACAACTGATCAAATTACAGAGTTGTGGAAACCAGTCCCAACTGACATATCTACAGCACAACTGTACCTACGGCAGAGATCTGTGTGAAACAGGGTGCAAAATATTGTAAGAGCCAGATACCGGGAGTTCTGGGAGACTTATGTCTCCTTGAAATGTCAGAAATACTATATCCTCGGAGGCTCACCAACATAACTACATAAATATGACCTGACAAGGATGACATCATAGACATGCTTCCATGGAAGGGGAAGCTCATGAGACCTCAGCCATAGACAAAGAACTACAGGCAACTAAGGAATGCTGAGAACTGGAGAAGTAGTTTTCCCTGGGCAAGAGCACAGCAGTCGGTTGGTTATCCAATAGGACATGGTCAGCCCTGAAGGAAACATCAAGTAACATTATCCAGATTGAGTAAGTTGTATTTATATATTTAGGGAGATAGGTAGGAGATAGATGTATAATTAGATAGATATATTGATTGATTGATTTAGGGAAATAGACAACACACACAGCAACTCTTAAAGAAAAGAGGGCCATGTATTTAAATGAGAGCAAGAGGGGATACATGGGAGGAATTGGAGGGAGGAAAGAAAAGGGGTGATGATATAATCTCAATAAAAGTAAAAATATAAACTATAAAATAAAAAATTTTAAAGATTCTCTGAATCTTTTTAAAAAAGCGTTATAGACTGGAGAGATGGCTCAGCAGTGCAGGTAAGAAAGAGTTCTTGCTGCTCTTCTAAAGGACTTAAGTTAGGTTCAGTCACCTGTAACTCCAACTTCAGGAGATCTGGCGCCCTCTTTTGGCCTCTGAGGGCACCCACACGTGGTATATCTCCACAGATAGACAAAAATAAAAGTGAATCTCCTTTTTAAAAAGATAACCTTTATTTTTATATGTGTGGGTGTTCTACCTGCATGTATGTCTATACAGCACATGTGTTCAGTGCGTGTGAGGCCAGAAAAGGGCACTGAATCCCCTAGGACTGGAGTCAGACAGATGAGTGCTAGGAATAATCTGCGTCCTCTGGAGGAATTAGGAGTGCTCTTAACTGCTGACCCATCTCACCAGTCACTGAGCCTCCTTTTGAAACTGCATATTTGTTGTACATTGCTAGCAGGGTTTAGTATTTCCCATGCTACCCTCTTAACTCATTATGTTCCTAAGGATGACCTTGAACTTTAGATGTTCCTGTATCTAGTTTCTCAGTGCTAGGATTATAGGTATTTGCCACCAAATCCAGATTGTGTCTTGACAGTGGTAGAACTCAGGGCTTTATGCTCTACCAGCTGAGGTGTGTTGTATCCTCAACCCTTGCTGTTCCTTTGAAATGCAGAATGCATCCGTCATGCCATCACTTAGTGAGGATGAACAGATAGGTCTCTCGAAGGTATCCATCCGCTGAGGGAAAGTGTCTTCTTCCCCTGTTACAGTCACCAGACACACCCAGAAACAAAGGAGGAAGGAACAGAGGGAGCTAACGGGTTTTCTCCACTAGTAATTACAGAGAAGTTGTACTGCCTGCATTATTTGGGATCAAGAAGCAGGTTTCTTTTGAAAGTGCTCTCATCTTTCAATCTTTGTCATCCTCTGTCTACAGTATTCAATGCTCTCCATCTTCTCAGCCAGCAAGTATATAATTGAAACGTGGAGTTTCTTTTTTTCATTTTTGAAACTGGATGCTGTTGCTAGAAGGAATTTTCATCAGAAATCTAGGTATTGAACCATGCTTTCTTTTCATATCTTCTATTCATCAGTAACCTGTGTCATTGTGTTAAGTGGTATTTCAGAGAACTGTTCTCTAATTTTGAAAAGGAAGAGGATGGACATTCTTCTTGGCCCTTGGAGTTGACACTCTGCTATGTGCACACCTCATTAGATAATTAACTCACAAGATAGTCAACTGGCTCAGCTCTAAAACCAAAACCTTTTAAATTCAGTTAAGGAATTCCTTAGACACTAGCTTTCAATGTAGGAAAACACTCGCAGTTGGAGACTTCTGAGACAAGACCGTCTGTAGTTCTCTGTCCTTCAATAGGACTTAGCCACAGATGTCCTTTCAGAGATACGGTGACAGACCAACCTCTAGCTGCTTTGCACACTCGTACTGTTGGGCTTCCTGCCCAGGAAACCAATTGCAGTGCTGAGAGAGAGGCCTGTGTGATAATGGAAATTTCTGTCCAGCAGCTGAAGTGGAACTAAGGCCCGCCCTGCTACATCCTGTAAAGAATGGAGTCTGTGTCCTGGCTTGGTCCCAGCACTCAGGGAGGCAGAGGCAGGCAGCCTGGTCTGTGTATCAAGTGTTTATATCAAGTTCCAAGCCAGCCAAGGCTGCATAATGAGACCCTGTTTCAAGAGGAGGAGCAGCAGCATCTGGAACCATGGAGTGGCTACAGCCAATTCCTTACTTGCAGGTATGTGAGAGTAACCCAGAACACTGATTCAAAAAAACAAAGGTGTTTGCAGTTTAAAACAGCTACTAGATTTGAAAATTAACTTTTTATGCTGTCATAGATAACTAATATAAAACTAAAAAGGGAAGGCAGAGTCTAGAGAGATTGCCCAATAGTTAAGAACACTTGCTACTCTTGAAGACCCGGGTTAAGTTTCTAACACCCAGATGGCAACTCAAAACTGCCTGTAACTCCAGTTCCAGGAAATCTGACACCCTCTTCTGGCCTCTTCAGGCACATGTGTGGTGCACACACAATGCTAGCACACAAAATAAAAATCCTTAAAAGAAGGGGGTGCAGGAGAGATAGCTCAGTAGTTAAGAGCAGCTGTTGCTCTTCCAGAAGACCCAGAACACACAAATAGTTCACAACCATCTGTAAGCTTGACTCCATTTTGTTTTCCTCCACCCCTCTGATGTGCTTGAAGTGGAACCCAGAGTGGAACCATGAAATGCACCACAGATCTATACCCTCAGTGCCCACCCTGACATTTTCAATTTCTAGATGACAGTCAATAGCCATGTGTCCTGGATATACTTTCTGTTGCTGTGATGAATCACCATGGCCAAAAGCCACTTTTGCTTACACTTCCACTTTATAGTCCATCATTAAAAGGAGGTCAGGACAAGAACTCAAGTAGAGCAGGAACCTGGAGGCAGAAGTTGATGTAGAGGCCATGGAGGAGTGTTGCCTACTGGCTTGCTCTTCATGGCTTGCTCAACAGTGCCTTAGGGTTTCTATTGCTGTGAAGAGACACTATGACCATGACAACTCTTTAAAGGAAAACATTTATTTGGGTCTGGCTTACAGTTTAGAGGTTTAGTCCATTATTGCCATGGCAAGAAGCGTAGCATGCAGGCAGACATGGTACTGGAGAAGGAGCTGAGAATTCTATTTCTTGATCCAAAGGCAACAGGAAGTGAACTATCCTACACTGGGCATAGCTTGAGCATATGAAACCTCAAAGGCTGACCCACGGTGACACACTTCCTCCAATGAGGCCACACCTAAAATGCCACTCCCTATGGGCCAAGAATTCAAGCTCATGAGTTTATGGGGCCCATTACTATTCAAACCACCACAGCCAGTTTTCTTCTAGAGCCCAGAATCACCAGCCCAGCCAGTGCTCTCCACAGTGGACTGGGTCCTCACCCATCAAACACTAGTTAAGAAAATACCCTACAGCTGGATCTTATGAAGACATTTTCTCAATTAAGTTTCCCTCTTTTCAGATGACTCCAGCTTGTGTCAAGTTGACATAAAACCAGCACACCAGGGTTGATGATGTGGCTTTACTGTTGTGTTTTAGAGACCTGGCCTCCACCGTGCTGAAGTTACAACCCACAGTGGCTGTGTTCCAGAAGTACTTCAGTTTGTCTTGCACAGAGCTGTAAGAATGCCTCCTGAGTGCCTGTTACTTTTTTTAAAAAAAAAATGCACCTCTGCTAAATCCTTCCTCTCTTGCTCTTAGCACTTCCTGTCTTGAAAATTTGCTTTGGTTTCTTTTTCTTTCACTACTCAAAAGCCACACAAACCAGGCTCTGTGAAGAACAGGCCAGTCATGAAAAGGAAGGAACTAATAGATTGGGCCTGTCAGCAGTAGACTGAAGCCGTTAAGAGAAACTAGCTTTACCAAAAGCCACATTTTAAAGA